AGGAGGTTAACACCTGCTCTGTGCAGCAGTGCTGAACAAAGGAAACACTTTTGCAGGCACAGAGTCTGTTCCAGGAATAAAGAATCAGAGAATGATCAACACAGTGTTCCACATCTCCCCAGCAAGTCCACAGTTATGAAACATGGAGCTGCATCTCAAGCAATCCTCACCATCCAAAACCTTTCCCTAGGCTTCAGCAAAGTTTCTCTTAAGAAATTCAGAGAAATAGCCCCAGCTTGGTTCACACAGAACTCCGCCCTTCCCCATTCATGTTAGCAATAGAAATAGTTTACAAGGAATCTTAATAGCAGTAATGCAGCTTGCTCATTCGAGATTTATGCAAATATGTGACATTCAGATGCAAAAGCAAAATTTGTATGAAATAACGTAAAATCTGCTCCGAATTCTCATTGAATTCAGCGGGACAGGTAAGTGGATACAGGACTGCAACATTAATTTGATTTCCATTTGCTCCCAATAGCCTTATTCAAGTGAAAAGGGATTCAGCAGTGGGGAGACCGGCAAGCTAATAAATAAGAATTGATCTCCAACAAAATCCCACAGCACAAAACGGAAATTAGAAAGCACATTCTTTTATCACAAGTACACTTCCTCTCCTTTCTTGCAGAGTAGTTCTCCTAGAAAACAAAGGTAACTAACCTAGCAATATATCTCAGATGGGCTAATTGACTGTTTAAGCAGTTCCTGCTGTTAAATTATGCTGCTCTTTGCTGCCAACGGCTACTAAAACTGTCTCTATTATCTGAAATGACAACAGAAGCAGCTGTGGGCTCCACAGACCAATCTCAGTCCACCTGAACTTGAAGCCAGTTCAACCAAAGGCTGAATATCTTAGTTTCACTGATACTATGCAGAAACATCACACCAGTTATGGCTGGAGACAGGACAGTCAATCACATGAAAGCAACCATTCTCCCAAACCTACAGTAAAGCTATTCTCTCTTGAAGAGTATCACATTATTGACAAACCAAACCTAGCCAGCTCACATGCCACACAGAGACCAGTACAGAAAAAATAATAAACATGCCCAAGTTGGGTTTTTTGCTTAAAATGGGAAATGATTTAGCATCTGGATGAAATAACTCTACACCGCTTGGCTGGCACTATTAACTACTTCTTTCCAGCTTGCTGCAGCAGAGCATTCAAGGCATCTAAACCATATTTGTGGAACTAGTTGGTACTTTTAAAAAAATTACATGAAGGTTAGCTTCCTCCCCTTTGTCACAGGCGGCATACACACCATACATCTGAAGCACATGGTGTCCCCCAGTGAATGCTGGGAAGTGTAGTTTACCCCTCATAAAGGTACAATTCTCAGCACTCTTATAAAAACTACCATTCCCAGGATCCTTTGGGGGAGTTCATGTGCTTTAAATGTAAGGTATGTGCATAGTTTGCTAGAAAAGTATCAAATATACCTTCTCTCCAGTATGGAGGAAAACCTGTATGGTGGTCTGGTCCATGTCTGGGGACATATTTCTACTACTACTGGCATTATATGACTCCGTTTCTCCTCTCTTCTACAATGGGAATAACCATGGCCTACCTCCTAGGATTGTTGTGAGATCACATTAAGTGTGTGCAGCTGGGTACTGCTGCTGCAAGGCTGAAAACAAGAAACCAGCTCCCTAAAATACAAGCTTGCAATAGCCCATTATGTGGGTCAGAGGTGGCTCTGGTGCAAGTTCCGCTTTCCTGCGGAGCTCAGAGAGGCTTTTGCCATCCTAACCCACCACGCTACGTTGGCCCCGGTGTCTGTCGCGCGGGCCCGGGGGGACGATTGCCACGAGGCTTCCGGCAGGTGCTTCACCCAGGAGGGAGGGGGCCCAGCCTGCCTCCATCTCTTACGGCCCGCACCCCAGAGACCAGGCCGGGCTGTGCCAAGCCTGCAAAGGAAAAGCACAGGCTGCTTTAATATCCCCATGTGCTTGCTGACAACCTCCCACTCCACAGCACCAACAACCGGCCCTTAAGGTGGCACGGGCCAGCAGCAGCAGCAGGTGACACAACTTCGGCTGCCATCACTCCAGCAGAGCGAGACGCCGCCGCTGCTGCTGGGCTTCCTCCGGCCAAGCTTCCCCTGGCGCGCGGGTTTTGCATTTCGTACTCTATTTATTCTTTTGCAGCAGCGACCTTGCTCAGCCAGCACCCGTCGCGCGTGGGTTGCTGGGGGGTGGGTGGGGCGCACAGAGCGACCCGCGCGGCTTTCCGAGCCAACCCTCCTCCAGCCCACCTTAACAAGGGCCTAGGCTTGCTAACTTTGCGGCTAGACCTCGGTGTTTGTACACACTGCAGAAAATGTGCAGGACTTTAAAGGTGCAGCGACCCTCCCGCATCCAGCCTTTCTTTCTGGGAGGAGAGGAGGACGTGGCGGCGGCGGGCGAGTCACCCGTGCAAGAGGGAAGAGCGAGCGATGGCCCGGGATCAGGCCTCTCCGATCAGGGCCAAAGGTTAACCGAGGGAGGGAGAGAGAGAAGGATCCCTAGCCTCGTGCGCAGCGGCAGCTCTTACGCGCGCGGACCCCGCGATGGCGCAGCCTGTGTCGTGTGTGCTTTGCTCCGTCCAAGCGGGCAAGGCGAGGGCGGAGAGCCGGGAAGCGATCCGCATTTCCCAGAAGCAAGCGCCGCAATGGGTACTGCGAGCCAGACAGGCCTTGACAGCGGAGGGCGGGCTTGCTTCGGGGCTTGGCGAGGAGGAGAGGGAGAAACCCGAAAGGGCACCGCGCGGCTGGGTTGGGTTGCAAATCAAGCGCGTGAAAGGGTTGCCTTTTGCAGAGCCGGACAGGCGCGGAAGGAGCGTTCCTGCCTTTGTCATTGATAAAAGGGCTTGCGGGGGAAGGGGGGGGCGGCCCTTACGGACACCAGGAATTGCTGGCATCCGTTGATCTAAAGAGACAATGGCGTGCAGCTCCGGGGCTGAAGCCAAAGCGCTGCGTTAGCAGCACCAAAGTGACCTCTGCAAGGGTGCAAGTCTGGGTGGGCAGTGTGTAGGGACGTCCTGGGCTGCGCAGGCGACAAGACTCGCTGATGCGGTCCAAAGGAAGCAGAGCAATGCGCCAGCTTGGCTGCAGGAATTGCAACCCGCTTAGGGATTTGTGTAGGGTTTATTCCATAGGCCCCACCCCCCCAATGTCCGGCAAGTCAGAAGTTTAGGATCAGAGTCTGCCTTCTCCTAGATGGCTTGACTGGCCCCATCTGCCCCTCACTTCCCACCTGGTTGAGCCAGCAAAGCTGTCTGCTGGTTGTGTCACATGCTGACAGTTTTTAGGAGCCACAGGTGAGAGCTGAGTGCACTTCCTCCCCCCTGCCCCCCAAAATTGCTTCTGCTACCCCCCGCATACTCTAGATCGCTGAACTTTCTGTTCAGCTGCTCACTGCTATGGTTTACTTTTGTTGCCATCGGTCGTAAATTCCAATAACTGGCAAATCAAGTCCATCTCCCAACAAAATTGGTATTCTGCCATCTTCCTTCTCTTCTATCACTTAATTTATCCATTTCTGCCCATTCTGAAGATTTTAATAGCCTGCTCTCAGTCCGTGGGGATTTGTTGACATTTCCGTTTTCTAGCCCACATAATTTTTACGAAGAATTTCGGGTATCTAGATCTAAATCATGGAGGACAAGGCCGTACCTCCACAATTGGGGGCAGTATGCCCCTGAATGCCCGATGCTGTGAATCATAAGTGGGTCGAATTCTGTTGTGTTCAGGTCCTGCTTTCAAGCTGCTCAAAGGCCTCTGGTTGGCCACTGAGAACAGGATGGTGACGAGGTGGGACCCTGGATGGATGGGGCAGGCTTGTCTTACGTCCTCAGTGTTGATTTTGTTTAATTTAACAAAATCAACACTGGGCCAAAACTCAAGGTTCTAAAGATAAAATGGGGAGTTGCAAGGGGTACCATTTGTGCCACCTGGCACTCCTTATAGGGTTGCCGTATTTTGAAGAGCAAAAAAGAGGACACGTTTGCCGACTTCTGCTTTTAATTATGGATTGCTGCGACACAACTCTCATTTTACAGATCCATGGAAAAAAGAGGATGTGTCCTGGAAAAAGAGGACATATGGCCAACAAATGTCCTCCCTTGTAAAAGCAGAGCTACGAGCTCAGACCTTGGTTGCCTTCTTTTACAAACACTATTGAAAACAACACTGGTTGAAAGAGTGGTCCGATTTAAAATACCGATGAGAAAGGCTCTCTTCCCCATTGCCCAATTCTGATCCATTGTTATTGAAGTGCAAGGCAACTCTCAGATGGAGATAAAATGCGGAAATAATAATAATAATATTTTATTTATACCCCACCCATCTGGCTGGGCTTCTCCAGCCACTCTGGGCTGCTTCCAACAAAATATTAAAATACAGTAATGCATCAAACATTAAAAGCTTCCCTAAACAGGGCTGCCTTCAGATGTCTTCTAAAAGTCTGGTAGTTGTTGTTCTCTTTGACATCTGGTGGGAGGGCGTTCCACAGGGCGGGCGCCACTACCAAGGCGGCCCTCTGCCTAGTTCCCTGTAACTTGGCTTCTCGCAGTGAGGGAACTGCCGGAAGGAAAGACTGCAAGGAGGGATGGGAGCTGGAAATAATCTCTGAAGGAGATGAGGACAACTCTTAAAAAATCATTCATACCTTTAGCCGCATCTAAGTGCAGGTGGTAGCCTCATCCTTAGTCCTAGACATACAACCCACCTAGAATCTTCTGTGGGAAACTGGCTTGAGGAGGTGTGGAGAGGCTCAGAATCAGATGCGGCTTATCTGCCCATCAGGACTCTCTCCACAACATGCCTTCCTCTCCAAACACACCCGCCAGGTGCGGGGCGAGCACCAAGAAATTGAAGGGGAGGAATCATAATTCTAGTTTGCAGCCCCACTTCAGAAAGGCAATATTGTTTGAACTTGCAGATTCAAATCAGCGTACAAACACACACACACACACACACACACACATCCTTGCATGCAATAGCCAATAACACGGGAAAACATAAAGAGGCTCCCTTTTATTGATGTGATGGATCTGAAACCAGGATGCATGTTAAGGCAACTGTGCTGGTGCTGCATGCTACCATCACTCCCTGCCATACAGGGGAAGAACGTGACTCCTGAGCAACTTGGGGCGAGGTGAGACACCGCCTGCAGAAGCATCATCACACTTTCCCAGGATCCTCCTTCAGAGTCACCGTCCGGTTGAAGACAAGCTGTAGGGGGAAAGCAAGCGACATTAGCAAGAGTCCTTTGCCAGCCAAGTTCTTCCTCCCCATCACCTCCCATTTTAGAGAGTGGCTTTTCTCTCTAATCGGACCTTGAGGCCTTACAGGAACCGTTAAGAGACAGAAGGAAGCTCAAAGGCAGGTTCCGGGGAACATTTGGCCCTCCGGACGTTGCTGAACGACTCCCATCAGCTGCAGCCAGAGTGGCAACATGGCCGGCGGCAATGGGAGTTCTAGTTCAGCAACACCTGGAAAGTCAACAGTTCCCTGTCAACACAGGGTTTCTACTGGTATATCACCCCTGGCAGGAGGCCCCATCTGGCCTCTGGCTGAAAACCTCTATCAAAGGAGAGAGTCTGACATCTTCCAAAGCAGTCTGTTTGTTTCACCGTCCAACTGCTCGTCCTGTCAATAAGTTATCCCTCATGTGCAGCTGAATTTTCCTTTCCTTGCCATTTGAACGGGGGACGGGGACGGGACCCTTCCAGGTTTTTGCCCCTTTTGGGAACTGACCTTTGCACCTGTGCTGTCAGGATCGACTGAGAAATAGCCAAGCCGTTCAAACTGGAATTTGGTAAAAGGCTTGGCCCCACACACAGACCTGTCCACCAGAGCCTCCTCAATCACAGAGAGCGAGTTCTGGAATGGGAGAGAGAACAGCGAAAGATGGAAAGGAGCAGGCAGGATAGACTAAAACAAGGCAACAGAACTTCTCTCAGATGGGCAGGCCAAAGAGTCTTTAGCCCCGCTGATTAAAATATGCAACAGTACTTTTCTCTACTCACCAGGGATGCCCCACCCAGAAGGCAAAGTGAGGTGATCATCTCAGGAAACGGGATCCACAGAGACAGCAGATCCGGCCTCCAAGGAACGCACTACCTGCTGCTGCCACGGTGGCAGTGACGGCGTGCTCCTTTGAGACAGGATCTGCCGTCCCCCACCATGCTGCCTCTACAGCAGCCTCTTCCTCCTGCCCTTGTTCCTGACGTAGATCTTCACTCATCCCTTCTTCCCTGGCCCAGAAGGGGGCGGGCACCATTTTGCAGTTTGCCTCAGGTGCCGAAGTGTATTGGGCTGGCCCTGCTACTCACGGGTGCAGTGCATGAACTCTTGTGGTTACCCGCCTTCACCAATTTTTGCATGGCTTGCTTGGGAGGAGATGCCCAGGTTGGCAGGTGCACCCTGATCCGCACACTCCAATTCACTTATAGGTAAACATAAAGGGACCCCTGACTATTAGGTCCAGTCGTGGCCGACTCTGGGGTTGCAGCGCTCATCTTGCTTTATTGGCCGAGGGAGCCGGTGTATAGCTTCCAGGTATTTGGCCAGCATGACTAAGCCACTTCTAGCGAACCAGAGCAGCGCACAGAAACGCCGTTTACCTTCCCGCTTTCGAACTGCTAGGTTGGCAGGAGCAGGGACCGAGCAACGGGAGCTCACCCCGTCGCGGGGATTTGAACCGCCGACCTTCTGATCAGCAAGTCCTAGGCTCTGTGGTTTAACCCACAGCGCCACCCGCGTCCCTTAATTCACTTATACCTCCTACCAAATTGCACGCCCACACACAGAAGGTGTTGGCCTAACAGGAACCACCTTACAAAACTCCTTAGCAAGGTGTACATTGTTAGTACAATGAGATGCTTCCCTGGCAGTTTCTTTGTGCATTGTTAACCTCACCTTTTAATAATAAAAATGTCAATTTCTAATGTTTTATTCCCTCTCGTTCCTCTCCTTTAATTTTCTACTTTTCCAACATAGCTCCACCTCTTCCTCCTCCCTGCTTCTGTCTTCCCTAGTCCAAGGCATTCATAATAATAAAACACTCTTCTGGGCTCAGCACTCACAGGATTGACATCACTCAGGAAGCCCTGTGGCACCTCTGCGGGGTCTTCGGGGTTCTTGTGCAGGAACCTGCAAGCCGAAAAAAAGGTTTATAGTCACACTGAGGATGAGGTTTGGCTGCCGGAACAGAAGACAAGAGGGTTCTGCTGCACTCTCGTATCCTACGCATGGCTCTTCCAGATGCTCTCTGTAGGCCCTGGGGAACGAGCCAAGTCCTTCTTGGGCTTGATGTTACTTCTACCCATGGTGTCAAGTCTACTCACTGAATGGAGAAAGCTGGGCAATGCAGACGGACAGCCTCACAGAAGGTCCAGCCCATGTTCAATGAGCTCATCTCAACCCTGACTTGGCAGGAAGCAACAGCAAAACCCTTATCTCAGGGAGAAACTCCTCTTTTTGTAATGGGGCAGCTGACAAATTTGATGTAAACTCCCCCATTAGCTACTAAGCTGATGGAGCAGAGACACTTTGCTTTAGGTCGGGAGGCAATTAGCCTTGCCTGTCTGGGTTTTCTCTGCCAAGATTAGTGCCGGAAGTCTTCTTTTGCCAATCTATGAAGATCTGCACTGGTTTCCAGTTCATTTCCAGGTGCTTGTTTTAACTTTTAAAGCCCTACATATCTTTGGAACCAGTGGCCTCCAAGACTGCCCTGCTTCCCTATGAATCTGTCTGAACATCAAGGATGAAACATGACGATCATCTTCAGAGGCCCTACATATAGGCTGTGTGTGTGTGTGTGTGTGTGTGTGTGTGTTGTTGTTGTTGTTGTTTTCCAGTATTAGGCTTCTTTCATCCGTAGCATCTGGAACACCTCCCCCCTCCTTCCCCTGGAGACTTCTGAGGCACTGAGCTGAAGTCTTTCTGGTGCCAGATGGCTTTCTTTTTGCCCAGACTACCCAGAATTCCACAGGAATTCTGCACGGTTTAAACCTGACTTTTACTATGGCCAAGTACAGATTAGTGAATCGTGGTTTAATAAGGCTACGTCTGAGTAGTTGCTTCGCTGCTCCCGTCATGCAACTGAGCAAACAACCAGGAATCCATAGTTAACTGTAGTCAGAACTGGGAAATGGTAGCAAGCTGGAATCTGAAGCCATGGTTTAAAATTGGCCTGTGGTTCCTGGCCTGTTCAGAACCATGGTTTCCCAGTTTGAACGTAACAGGAAACTATGGTTAGCTATGGCTTCTTCACTTATTTTGCTACCCCTGCAAATGGAGAAGCAAAGCAGCCGTGCACAGGTTCCTGAGGCATGTACATAGTGCACAGTTCATCCAAACATGGCCGGCACCGCTGCTGTCTCTGTTTTTATGCACTTTAGAACTATTTTAGTTATTTGAGCTGCTTTGAAAGAATAGTTCCCCAAGGAAACAAATTGGAACGGTATAATCAATTTCCCCAGAACCACCACCTTCCTTCCAGATATAGTTATAGGTTTGATTAAAACAGATGGTGTTTCAAGATAAACTCGAAAAGTGTTGGTACCTAGTTCTGTCAACCCGCCTTTGAATACATAACACCACTATGCAATGCTTGAATATATAGCATCTGTGAGCTAAACCCAGGGGAGGAGGGAGACAAGATAAGGAAGTGGTTTTGACCCCTGTTACCTATTCTACTTCCCAGGAATAATAATATCCAAGGTCAAGAGGTACATGGGGAGCCTTCTCAAACAACAGATTTGCAAAGAGGGAGCGATCCTAATACTCACAGTCGCTCATACTGTCGAACCTCACACACGAGAGGATTTGACACCCAGTGGATAAAGGCTTTGGGTTTCTCTGCTGCCTCCGACTTTGTACAGGTCACCTCTAGCTCTTTCACACGTCCATTGGTGTCCTAGGCAAGGAGATGAAGGTCAGTTCCATGCGGCCACCCAGCCACTTTGCCATCATGCTTCGGGTATCTAGCTCCTCTCAAAAAACACTCCCTTGCAATGTGGAGCAGATTGCCTTCCTCGTCTCTTCTGCTCAGTGCAGAGGAGGGGAATGAATTTGCGATGACCAGCTCACTTGCTCTTGCATGAGCCCAGACCTCAAATCCATGTCTGTATCTCCCTAAAAGTTCATTGCAGTTCCATTTAACATTGCAGACCTCAAATCCATGTCTGTATCTCCCTAAAAGTTCATTGCAATTCCATTTAACTGACTGGCGCTAGCTTATCTGGCCAGTTGCAGAGAAGTCAAGAAATTATTTTCCACACTCTGCCTCATAATCAAGAGACATTTTGGTTGTTTCTTCATACCAGGGAGAAAGAAAAAGGATTCTATGGCTGTTCAACAACTGCAGGATGACCCCCCCACACCCAAAAAAAAGTTGATTCAGAGCTGATCTGCCACACATATAAGCTATTTCAACAGGACACAGAAGAAACTAGGAACTTACAAATATGAAATGCTTCAAGACACTTCATCAAAATCACAATCCCAACAGGAACCAAAAGCAAAATTATCAGGCCACAAATATATCAAATGCCAGAAAATGTTTGGACATACAACACTTTCTTTTAAAAGCATGGGGTGGGGGCAGGGGGCGGGAAACGCCAATAAACAGACTTGGGCTCAGCAGAATTTCATTTACAAAAATGTATAGGGTCACCACAGAAAAGGCCCTGCTGTGCTCTTGCAGATAACTCCTCATAGGCAGCAGCAAAATGGATTTCCCCCTTTTTTACTCCAATCTCGGGGACGAAATATTCAACTGGAGAATGTAACGTAGGAACAGGATGTTGGGCCAGATGGGCTTAATCACACGGTGCCTGAAGCAACTTTGGGTAGCTCTAGCCTTAGCGAGAGAGATACAACTTAAGCTTCAGAAATCACTGGAGGAGAGCCAAGGAACTGGCGTGTGTGTGTGTGTGTGATTTCATTTTCTACTACTGCAAGCAACCTCAAGGCTTATTTGATCAAAAGGCAGGTGTGAGATCTATGTTGTTTTTTAAAAAAAAGAACTAGATTTCACCGCTTGCTTGTGCAGACAGACGAAAACCACTAAGCAGGTAGCGAATTGGGAGAAAGACCTAGCAGAGCCACAGCTGGCTCAAGGAGTATCCATACAAAGCTGTAAGCATAGCTGCTGGAATGGTCCATGAGGCTGATCTAAGCCGAGTGCCACAGCTGATGTTTTCTTTTATGGGAAGCTCTTAGGCCCTGATCTACAGGGATAGCTGCAGAGCTGCAGTAAGAGGGCTGTCAGGAGATGCCACGGCAGACTCACCTTAATTATGCTCTGGATAGCAATGACATAGCCCGTGTGCCTCAAACCCACTGGCTGGCCGGGCGCCAGGCGCTTGTAACCTTTCTCTGGCACCTGGCAGGGAAGAGATGCTAACGTCAGTGGAGACCAAACAAGGGGAATCAAATCACTTCAATCCGCTGGCACATGGATGTAAAAACGTTCTGTACTAAATTGCCAGTTCTTATGGGGCCAGGCACCTCCCTCACAGCAGGGATCTGCAACGTAGCTCCCCGTAGTTATTCTCAAGACATCCCCATAATAACAATAATAACAATTTATTATTTATACCCCGCCCATCTGGCTGGGTTTCCCCAGACACTCTGATTAATAATAATAATAATAATAATAATAATAATATTTATTTATATCCCGCTCTCCACAGGCTCAGGGTGGCTAACACCAGGTATAAAAACAATTGATTAAAATAGAACTTAAAACCAAGATTAAAATACAACATTAAAATGCAGCCTCATTTCAGTAGAAACTCAAATCAAACACTTTTTGGGGATGAAAATGTCAAATCTTCACCAAGGCCAACTATCCAGACTGGTCCCACGTGGACCAGAAAAAAGCCAGGGAAGTCCCCAAATAGGAGTTCCATCACAGAAAGAAAAGGAAAGAGGGGGAGGGGATCAGGCTGATTCCAAGCCAAAGGCCAGGCGGAACAACTCTGTCTTACAGGCCCTGCGGAAAGAATATTAAAAACACGATAGAACATCAAACATTAAAAACTGCCCTACACAGGGCTGCCTTCAGATGCCTTCTAAAAGCCAGATAATTGCTTATTTCCTTGACATCTGACGGGAGGGCGCGCCCCAGGGCGGGCGCCACTACTAAGAAGGCCGTCTGTCTGGTTCCCTGTAACCTCACGTCTCGCAGGCCTAGTTTTGGCAGGAAAGCCAACCTACATGAACAGGGCCCCTTTGGGTGCCACGAGACATGTTCTAATTTTTAAAATCCGTATTTTTAAAAGATCTTGCAGAGATGATCCAGGCCAGTAGAAGTGGCCACAAGGTGGACTTCTAATACAAAGAGCCAATGACAGATTCAAAATACACTCTCCGAGTTAGAGGAGCCGGCGCTACCAAGAGAAGTGAATTAATCTGCAGTGCAGGCATGGCTGCCGTCCAGAGAATGCAAAAGCTACACAAAATTGCTGAAAAAAAGATAAAGGTGGAACCGCAAATGACAGTGGTGACTGCTAAGACCACCAGGAACTATGGGCAACTTGAAAAGACATACCTGTACCCTAAAACACACACACCCCATACAGGAGGGATCAGTGGAGACAGCAAAGTCCCTTTAAAATAAGAGAGAGCCTTTGTGCTGACGCATTTTACAAACCCCGCTTTCTAGCAAGGAAGAGATGAAGCCTTATCTGCTCCAGAGTCCTACAGCAGGACGAAGCATGCCCAGCTGGCATCCGGTTGAGGCGCCCACAATTTTTGCAGCACCCCATTCTGTGCCCCCAGCGTCACAAATATCAGCTTTCTTCTCTTCCTCAATGCACTGCCTCTCCCTCCCATCCACAGGCTCACCTCCCGGAAGTCACTCTGCTCAATATAGATGGTTGGCTGGAAGGGGACTTTGTGAAAACCTTTGGTCTCGTCAGCTGGGAAATTGGGTACGTCGATTTCTAAGATCTGTAAGGAAGAAAGGAAGGATTGATGCACGCTCGACGGGGGTGCTAAGAGAGGTCTAGATTTTACAGGGAGGTGGGCAAGGTGGCAAGCCACCCAGCCCCCACGCTGCAAAGGCCGCAGGCTTACTTTGTGCGGTGCGGGAAAATTGACGATGGTCACGCACAGTGGTTCCAGCACGGCCATGACCCGGGGCGCCTGTTCGTTCAGCACCTCCCGCACACAGGCTTCCAGCATATGAGGCTCCATTGTGCACTGGGCGACTGTCACGCCCACCTGTCAAGAAGAGGTTGGAGTGAGCCAAGCAACAGGGAAAGGTCAAGCTACCGGCTCCAAGCAAGAGGTGGGGGACATATTCTCTCTCTCTCTCTTTCTCCAAGGCAGCCTTTGTCAACCTGTGGGTCCCCAGATGTTGCTGAACTACAACTCCCGTCACCCCTAGCTAGCAAGGCCAGAGCTCAGGGATGATGGGAGTTGTAGTCCAACAACATCTGGGGACCCACAGGTTGAGAACTGCTGCTCCAAGGGCTGAACTCCCTTTGGGGAAAGTGGTCCCCAGGGGAATTGGGGGGGCCTACACACTTGTGGTGGGAGGTGCCAAAAGACGCACAGCCCATTCGCTCACAAACTTTCCTCTGCTCAGCTTCCACACAGGGACAGGGAACTGAAAAGAAAGGGATCTGAGGACATGGGAATAAATCTCTTCTTGAATTATCAGCTCACTGAGCATAGGAGCGGCAGGCGGAAGGAGGCACGGCTTGGAGGGGGTGCGGGGCAGTCTTGATTAAGAAGTCTGACAAGACGGATTAGGCCCATGGAGCAGAGGTTCTTCATCCCGGCTCTAAGGGGAAGATGGCCGCCCTGAAGATCAGTTGCAGAGCATCTGCTATGCATTCAGAAGGCCCCAGCTTCAATCCCTGGCAGTGCTGGGAAACCCTGGAGAGACGCCACCAATCAGGGCAGACAATACTGAGCTGGATGGACCAATGACCTGACTCGGTTTAAGGCAGGCTCCTATGTTCCTATTCCAACACCTAGGCTGTTTTCAGGGGCCACAATCCCAATCTCTCCAATGCCCATATGGCTCCAGGGAGATGGCCCCTTTCCCCGCTGCCTCTGGAGGCATGGAGACAGAGGTGGTACCCTGTCTTCCTGCTTAGCAGTAATCCAAGAGGTTCCTTAGTCAGCTCTATGTTGAAGCCATGTAACTGAGGAGCACCTCCACAACAAAGGTGCTGTGGGTGCGCCCTGCTGCTCACGCCATGCCCCAAAGGAAAAAGTGGTGCGTAAGCTCCATGACACGCAAGCAAAACCCGGAACAGGGCCTGAACTCTGTACCCAGCACCCCATGGCATTTAGGCACCCACGCTTTCCCCTTGGCCGAACCCCAAAGGACATGTCTTTACCCTGGCACAGAAGTTGTTGATTGCCTCTGCCGGGAAGCCCCGGCGCCGCAGAGCTGTCAGCGTAAAGAGTCGTGGGTCATCCCAGTCCCTGGAATGGCAACGGCAGCAGTGAGTGGCAAGAGGCAGAAAGAAGCCTTGCTCCAAAACATACCGGCCTAGTTCCTTCCCAGCATGCCATGCATGCATTCCCTCTTCCCACCCCACCCCCCAAACCTGGGACTACAGCGCTGAAGTGAAATACGGCCTGGTCCAGCAACCAAGGGACTAAGGGCCGCTTGGATGGGTGGGTTTGAAGTATGCATGTGCTAGATTCTTCTATAAGCCACCTTGAGGATCATTACATCAAAATGTGGGATTACAGGTCTTCTAAAATGTCTGAGGCCACCAGAGGGAGAGGACGCAGCAGCAAAGGACCTCTCCATCCAGCTGAATTACTGCCTTCTTAGGCAGATGTGAAGGGTTTTGGTGTTCGGAAAGCCCTCCAGGTGCTCTTGGACTGCTATTCCCACCAGCCTCAGCCAACATGGCTAAATGGCAAGGGATTATGGGAGTTGTAGTCCAACGACGTCTGCAGGCACCTGGTTCTGCACCATACCAGGAAGGGTATTACAAAAGCCCTTTCCGCTATTCTAACGAAACTTCACAGACTGAGGCACTGGGCCATCAAGGAGGGACGTGAATCCAGGGCTGTGGGGAGGGGCAGCATTAAGGGCTAGGAACAACTTTGGGGATGGGTCAGAGATTTTGCCCAGAGATGGGTAAAAAGAAGCTCATTCAGGGTATATTGCAAGTGGATTGTTCCATAAAATTACAGTGGTACCTCGGGTTAAGTACTTGATTCATTCCGGAGGTCCGTTCTTAACCTGAAACTGTTCTTAACCTGAAGCACCACTTTAGCTAATGGGGCCTCCTGCTGCTGCCACGCCGCCGGAGCACAATTTCTGTTCTGATCCTGAAGCAAAGTTCTTAACCTGAGGTACTATTTCTGGGTTAGCGGAGTCTGTACCCTGAAGCGTCTGTAACCTGAAGCGTATGTAACCCAAGATACCACTGTACTTGGGAGCCTCATGTTCCTGTTATGAATCTGAAGCCGATTATATTTCGTGAACTACCTTGGAAGTGGTGCTTTGCCCTGAAAGGTGGCATACAAGTACTTCAAATAATAATAATAATAATTTTAAAAATCAAACTCTGTTCCTCACCTGACAGCCCCTGAATCTACCAGGCGAATGATTTTGCGTTTGGAGACCACCGTGTAGAGGAGATTGAGGCGCCCATACTCCCACTGCACGGGGCAGTAGACATCCAGGGCGTTGCACAGCCAGAAATAGGAGGAGCGTCTGTCAAGAGAGAGAAGAGCAGCAGCTGTCAGAGCAGCAGCGGGGAACCTTTCTCCAGTCCGGGGACCAGATTCCATGTTGGGCAACCTCCCGAGGGCTGTATGGTGGAGGGGGCCAGAGGCAAAACCAGTCACAGGAGCACGTGGAGCATTTTGCCTTCAGTCTGCTTTCCTACACTGTCACACAGCTTTCCCTATCCTCCTTACATGCAGTCAAGAGGTTTTATTGGAGTTCAACAAGGGAAAAGAAAAAAAAGTCAAGGAAATTTCAAAGCTTGGATAGTGAGGGGTGTGGCCAGAGGTGAGTCCTGAGGGCTGGACAAAAAAAAGTTTTGAGGCGGTCACATTGGTTCCTGGGCCTAAGACTCCACACCCCTGTGACAGGTCATCTATAACAGGAAAAAGCAGATTGATTCCTGTCAAGAGGCTGACGTTGGCTTATGACTCTCTAGCTTTGCAGAATTTGTTTGGCTTTCGGGACTCCTGTTTTTGAGCAAAAATAATTATGCGCGGTCAGGATGAGAGCAGGACAGAGACCCAGTCACAGAACCACAGAGTTGCAGGGGACCTACTAAAATCCTGCTGCATGCTCAAGGCAGAAAATCCAGAGGCAGAGCGCCCCTGACAGACAGCCGACTATCTGACCTCTGTTCAAAGGCCTCCACTGAAGGAGTGGTCATTAGTTCCACCGCTGAACTCATCCTCCGGAAGTTTCCCCTAGCATCCAATTCAAATCTTCCCTTCTCTAACTTAAGCCCATTAGATCTAGTTTTCACCTTTGCCATGAGGGCCAGAAGCTTGCATTCCACTAGAGGTAAAACCAGAACCCTCAAGATAGGATATCCAAGTGGCAGATTCTGCCCCTGTACAGATGAGGAGTCTACATCCATAGAAACCCAAGCCTCCTAAATCTGGGATTCTATTTCTCCACATAGGATATGGGATTCAGGCCTGTGGTTGCTCCCCACAACAGGAGAGCGTCTCAGCCATTTCCCAAACGAGCAAGGAGCTCTGTTGTCTCTCACCTGGCCTGGAACTCTTTGGTACAGAGCGAGTGAGTGATGTTCTCTATGGAGTCGCAGAGGCAGTGTGTGTAGTCGTAGGTGGGATAGATGCACCTGGAACCCAGGGTACAGCCGTAAGGTCAAGATCTCCAGAACCAGAACCAGCCCACCTCTATGCAGCTCAACTCTTTCCCCACCCCCACAGCCTACCCAGCCATCAACCCCATCCCTCAAAATGCTCTTGCAGATCCACCGCACTACCATGGCGTGTGCCCTTGCTTTTAAGTCTGCTTAGGGGAAAGGCCAGCCTTCCCACCTGAGGAGAACAAGGGTCGACTGTGGCCAAGGGGATGGCATCCTGCCCAAATTCAGAAGCACTCCCCCTTCCCCCCATCCCCAAATCCGAGAGCGCTAGCACAAGCTTCTGAGCCACAGTTGCCAAAAATGTTTACTGGATTTGTGAGCCGCCATTTTGCCAAGGCCCCTGAGGTGGTTTGTAAGCTTTAAACAGCAAAACAGACACGTGATATGAAATGTAAAGAGACAAGAGTCTCATGGGGGCCAACTGGGAGCGGATGGTATGTGGGCATCCTCGGCCTGGGCCTCCCTCGCTTCCACCTTCCCTCAGAGTACGCAGGTCTTTAGGGAAGGCCGGGGGAAGTTCTCGCCGCAATGGTTCTCCTCAGGCCATGGATGGTCCTGTCAGGGCCTGGTGGTACGTGTGCTCCCGGCCTAGTCTCCCTCACTTCCATTTCCCTTCAGGGCACGCAGGGCTTTCTTAAGCAGCCACGGAGATGGGAGGGAGGGGCTGCTGCACACACATTAAGCCCTATGGCACAGTCATCCGTCCCAACAGAAAATGCGGGCCAGAAACACCTAACCCATCTCTGAACCAGCAACCCTAAGCGAGATGTTCCACAGGGTTCCCACCCAACCCTCCAGTAGACCAGACACACACACCCCGTCCTCACGTACCACTTGTCCCCGGTGCGGTGATGTGGGGTGTATTTGATGCGGTAGGCGACAGGGTCCATCTTCCCATCTTCCATCACCAGCTTCATGCGCAGGGTGGCCTCGCCCTCGCAAACTTCCCCTTGCGCATGTCCTGCAGAGGAGGAACCCACACTGGAGCTTTGAGCCAGTAAGACATAAAAGCTCGCCACGAGGTTAAAAAACAGCAGCTTCTGCCGCCTCCGTTTTTGCCCTGTCAGGAGCAGCCTTCTGTTGCTCTGCTCTACAGGCAGACACATGTATATACTGTACAACAAAGGCTGCTCCTCAAAATGCCAAATTCATGCCAATGAAGCCCAAGGAATGCAATCAGAGCGACGTATTTTTTTTTAACCTTATTTTGTAAAATTAACCCTGCTTCCAAGATTCGGTTATTTCAATGAGTTTTTGACCAGTAATGAAAGGAAATAAACTGAGTGGAAGGACCCAGATAGAGGTAGTCAACATGCGATCCTCCAGATATCTGTTGGACTACAACTCCCATCATGCCTGACCATGGGCCATGCTGGCTAAAGCTAATGGGAGTTGTAGCACCATGTTGGCTTCCCCCAGATTAGGACAAAGAACAATAGCCATCTAAGGAGGGCAGAGAGAGAGGTGTACAAAATAAGGACTCTGATTGCTAGAAGCACACCTGTATAATTTTCTGGGCCATCATCGATTACTACAGGCATAACCATGAGGGCTAGAAACTTGTTGTGGTGGTGGTTTTCAAAAAACCCCCCAAAAGACAAGGCCAAGAATGCTGAATTCTCTAGCAGGGGAAGCCACCCAAAACTGCCCACATGAAATGGGAGTACCTCAAAAAGCAAGAGCGATTCCTCGACCGGCCGGTCTCGCCACGGAGAAGGAGGCGGATTATGTCCCTTGATTTCTTCCACCTTCTGGTGGCAAACGTAAGCATGGCCCCTGAGGGAGGGAAAGGACACAACCAGTCACAAGGGAAGGAAGAATGCACCTGTGGTCAGGTGTTAACCCTTTCCCCCTTTTCAGCATCCACCCTCCTCACCTCCGGATGAGATCCACCGCCCAGGTGTACAGCTGGTCAAAGTAATCGGAGGCGTGCGTCACCGCATAGGGGGTGTAACCTGGGGGAAATAAGGCCAGGTCATAAGAAAGTGTGCCCCCTTCATGCCATACTTGGCCCAGTCCCCACCGCTCCCCTCAAGCCCACGTCTTAGGGCAACAACTCCCCAAAACCCACCCTCAGACATCAGATCAGTCACTGTGAGAACAGGATGCTGGACTAGATGGGGCCATTGACTCCTGATCCAGCAGGCTCCTCTCGTGTAAACAAGCTGTTGCTACTCCTAAAAGCTTCATGTAAACAAGCCATCCGTAAGGGCCTCATTGTTGCACTTGAGCTTCACACCATGGTGCAAATTGGGCTAACCGGTGATTGTTTTTTCGGGGGTACCAGCGCTGTTTTTTTAAATTACAGTGGTACCTCTGGTTACGTACTTAATTCGTTCCGGAGGTCCATTCTTAACCTGAAACTGTTCTTAACCTGAAGCACCAAGTTCTTAACCCGAGGTACTATTTCTGGGTTAGCGGAGTCTGTAACCTGAAGCGTATGTAACCCGAGGTACCACTGTATTATTATTATTATTATTATTATTATTATTATTATTATTATTATTATTATTATTATTTTATACCCCACCCCTCTGTCTGGGTTTCCCCAGCCACTCTGGGCAGCTTCCAACAAAAGAGGAGAGAAGCCACTGGTTAAAAGTGTGGCACTTATTGTAACAACTTCATGGTGAGTACTGGCATCTGTTTTTCTAGAAGGAAAGAACTGATGTCAACCTAGCATGGGGTCCACAAAGCCAACAGCCTTCCCTTTCGCCCAGGCAACATTTCCACATTTTGTAGTACAAGATGCACATACCTAACCATTCCACTATGTCCCTGATGGCTGTGAAGTACTTCTCCTCCTCCTTTTCAGGATTTGTGTCGTCATAGCGCAAAAAGCAAATCCCGCCATTTGCCTGGTTGTGGGGAGAGAAATTAAGCAGTACAATTAAGCCATCCACGAGTTCAGCAAGACGTCAACTTGGTGCCTAAAAGTAATTCCATTTTGTCATTCCCCTCCCTCCCCTCTTCCTACAAATCGCTTTAAATTCTAATCATTACTGACACAAAATACCTTTCCCTTGTGGCCACCAATTTAAGCAATGCACGTTGCTATAACACAATTTCATATCTGCAATAATGCTGATATATATATACTTTGACGCAACTTGGTCAATATATTCGGAAATGTTTATCTGAGTGTTCACTGTTGTTCAATTTTTAGTTTTAATTTCATGTAATAGTTGCACGTCGTATGCTTTAAGGTGAACAAAGATATAGCTCAGCGCAAGTGTGTTAAAACAGTTTAAAGATGAAAATGGAGAAAAATGAAGTTACCTCAAAAAATAAATAAATAGAATTGACATGTTCCAATTTGAAACTTCAAATTAACGTGTAGGGAGTACAGTGCACACTAACAATGTATAAAATGCTAATAAATGCCTGCTTTCAAACAAGGTACATATAATCCTACTGTTATGTCTTCTGGCCTATTCATCTACAGTGGTACCTCGCAAGACGAACGCCTCGCAAGACGGAAAACCCGCTAGACGAAAGGGTTTTCCGTTTTGGAGGCGCTTCGCAAGACGAATTTCCCTATGGGCTTGCTTCGCAAGACGACAGCCCATAGGGAAATATCCGGGACAGCGGGGAAGCGCAGCGCGTCTTCCCCACTGTCCTCGGACCTCCTCCGAAGCCGGGTGGCGGGGAGGGAACACCTTCTGAAGGCGGGCGGGGGGCGAAAGTCTTTGTTCCCCCCTGCCTGCCTTCCCGGGAGAGCGGAGAAACGCAGCGCGTTTCTCCGCTGTCCCGGACGGCTTTTGAAGGCAGGCAGGGGGGAGCATAGACTTTCGCCCCCCGCCCGCCTTCAGAAGAGGTCCTGGACCTCTTCTGAAGGCAGGCGGGGGGCGAAAGTCTTTGCTCCCCCCTGCCTGCCTGTCCCGGAGGGCTTTTAAATCGCCCCGGACAGCGGAGAAGTCCTCCGCTGTCCCGGGGCGATTTTAAAATGCCGCCCGCCAGCATTTTAAGATTGCCCCGGACAGCGGAGAAGTCCTCCGCTGTCCCGGGGTTTTTTAAAATGCTGGGGGTGGGAAGAAAAGCCCTTGTCCCCCCCCCCAGCCTTCAGAAGAGGTCCCCGGACCTGGTCTGAAGGCGGTTTCCCTAGGAACGCATTAATTGATTTTCAATGCATTCCTATGGGAAACCGTGCATCGCAAGACGAAAAACTCGCAAGACGAAGAGACTTGCGGAACGAATTAATTTCGTCTTGCGAGGCACCACTGTATCATATGTTCTTATATGCTATGAGCCACTTTAGGGCCTATCATTTTTTTGGGGGGGGAATGACGCACACATCGCAAGATGAATATGAGGCTGTCCCTCCCCACTCACTATCGCCTTCCACCCCAACCCCAGTTCAGCAAAAAGCTGAGTTTGCAGCAGGGCAGAGTGTGGAAAAGTGACCGGTCTCTCACCTTGGCAAAGCCGAAGTTAAAATTGATAGCCTTGGCGTGGCCAATGTGCAGGATGCCATTGGGCTCAGGAGGGAACCGAGTGCGCACCTGTGGCGGAAGACATTTTCAATGCAGTTAACTGAGATCTCTCTGGATGCAGTCTCCTCCTCAAAACCTCAAAGACACACCACACCCAGCCCCACCCAAAGGCCAGGGCAGGGCCTCCCCTCGGATCATAAGCTACGACAAAAATGTAGGTAAAAAGGTAAAGGTAAAGGACCCCTGGACGGTTACGTCCAGTCAAAGGCGACTATGGAGTTGCAACACTCATCTCGCTTTCAGGCCGAGGGAGCCGGCGTTTGTCCACAGACAGCTTTCCGGGTCATGTGGCCAGCAGGACTAAACCGCTTCTGGTGTACGGAGAACCGAGACGGAAACCAGAGCACACAGAAACGCCGTTTACCTTCCCGCCACAGCAGTACCTATTTATCTACTTGCACTGGCGTGCTTTCGAACTGCTAAGTTGGCAGGAGCTGGGAATGAGCAACGGGAGCTCACCCCGTCGTGGGGATTTGAACCGCTGACCTTCTGATCAACAAGCCCAAGAGGCTCGGTGGTTTAGACTGCAGCGGACCCTGCAGGAGTCTGCAGCAATATCCAGCTCACTAAGCAACCATGGCTGTGTCCTCTTTTCTTACAACTTGATATCACATACACACTAAAGGAGGGGGGGGGAGAATTTGGCTGTCTACGAGGCCTCATTTGCAGGGCTTCTGGTCCCTTCTCATTATGCACAGTACATCCTTAGGGATTTAGGATGTGGAAAACAGCAACTTCACCGCCGAGGAAGTGAGGACTAGGGAAAACAGAGGTCTCTGCTGCTTCTCAAAAACCTTTGCAAAGGCGAACCCTTGTTCACCTGCACATGATTGGCATCAGATTTATTCTGTGCTTGCTGGGCAGGAAAGAGTAAATCTAGCACCTGGAAAATGCCTGGGTTTTGCTCCCATGCACAGACACCCTTGTCCTATGCCTGCTAGAGCTATGCATCTGTGGCATCTCACTGCTTCCCCAAATCTGGGTTTTGCCATAACAGCAGCTCGGGGGGCACAAGGTTTCACAGGGACTGAGAGATGCAAGTTACGGGGGCCAGCTGCTCCGTGAACCCAGCCTCCCGAAGGAAGAAGGACAGAAGATCTCTACCCCAACCCCACCCAAGAGCACCTGTCCGCCTGTGATCTCCAGATGCTGCTTCAGTAAGTTCATGGTGTTGGGTGTGACAACGTAGCCTTCCGTTTTGTAGTTCTCACCTGGAAAGGTACAAGGGACATGATCAGCACACAGTATGCAAATCAGCGAACTGCAGGCAGTGGCGGCTGAATAGTCTTCTGCATTAAAATCAAATCTCTGTGCCCAAAAGGAACAAAACAAAACACACCAGTTGCAGAACCGGGATAATTTTGCATTAAAGTTTCTTCACTGTCATTCTTTAGTTGATCATTTGCCCAGGTTTGCGGGGCTTAGTAATGTGGGGTTGTGGCTTCATAAGTGATCTTCCCTACCTACCACCTCCAAACGCACTCATTTTTTGGCAGTCAGGTGCTGTTGGGTGCCACCTGGTGGCAAGTGGGGAAAACTCCACCTATAAGAGATAAGCCACCGAAAGCCTAAATATAAGCAGCGTCACCATCAGAGCAGGGCTTGGAAGCAGAGGTCCAGGTCCACACTCAAAAGCACAAGAAAGGCCACAGCAATTTTGCCCCAAAGCAGATTGCGCTATGATGCTGTTTTGCTACTGTTTTGTTTTAAATTCTGTGGCGATTTAGCTTCTATATATGCATATCCGTGCACCTGTAGGCATGTATTAAAGTTTTTATTGGTTACCGGTCTTGAAAGACCTGCACTGGCCCCCAGTACATTTCCGAGCACAATTCAAAGTGTTGGTGCTGACCTTTAAAGCCCTAAACGGCCTCGGCCCAGTATACCTGAAGGAGCGTCTCCACCCCCATCGCTCCTGCCGGGACACTGAGGTCCAGCGCCGAGGGCCTTCTGGCGGTTCCCTCGCTACGAGAAGCCAAGTTACAGGGAACCAGGCAGTGGGCCTTCTCGGTAGTGGCACCTGCCCTGTGGAACGCCCTCCCACCAGATGTCAAAGAGAAAAATAACTACCAAACTTTTAGAAGACATCTGAAGGCAGCCCTGTTTAGGGAAGCTTTTAATGATTAATAGGTTATTGTATTTTAGTGTTTTGTTGGAAGCCGCGCAGAGTGGCTAGGGAAACCCAGCCAGATGGGTGGGGTATAAATAATACATCATTATTATTATTATTATTATTATTATTATTATTATTATTATTAAAGAAAAAACTGTAACCCGATACTGACCAATGCTGTACGGTTTTGTTTTCATCTGTCTTTATAGGCCCACCACAGCCTACAATGATAACATTCAAGGAATTGTACGGTAAGCTGCCTTGAGTTCCGCCTTGTCATGGAATTGCAGGGTGCAAATATATCCCAATATATAAATAAAATGTCTCCTAAACCCACAGGCAGGCTCCTGGTGCGCCATTTCCCACAACCACATGCATGAGCACAGCACAACCGGATACTGGCCCTCCTGAGCCCAATCAGTCCTTTCCTTGACATCAGGCAATATCTGTGGTTTCCACAGGCCCTGGCATATCATCGGTGAAGGTGAAAACCTGGCTGGAGAGACACGACCTCCAGGGCAGCTTACCTGGCTTATGGAATTTAAGCGCCTCGCCCCTCAGCTGCTCCATAAGGGATTTCGTCTCTTGGCATGCATCACCTGGAGGGAAAGCAGATGCAATCGTTTAGCATCTCCACATACGACTAGCAGTCTCCTGCCTGAAATTCTGAGAGCTGCTGCCAGTCCGTGTAGACAATGCTGAGCTGGACCAATGGTCTGGTTCAGTATAAGCCCGCTTCCTATGTCTTTCCTCTCCTCCCGTTGGAAACTCCTCCAGGCAGGGCTTCTCTCTTGTCGCTCGTCACTCAGCCACGTACCTTAACTAACACTAACACTGTAGAACAGAGAGCCAGCATTCATAGTGGGGGGAGAGACAGCCAGAAGTAAAAGGAAAGCATTTGTCAGGAGTCTCATAGCCCTTACATGCTACAGCCTGAAGGACTCACAGCCCTGGCTATGGTCAGAGGTCACGTGATGCAGCAGCCTCCCTAATGCAGGCCTGGGTCTGCTTCATGCCTACATCTCCCTACACAGGAATGGAGGAAGCTGCCTTGGACAAAGGCCATTGGTCCATCTTGCTCAGCTCTGACTATACTGGCTGGCAGAGCATCTCGCTTTCCAAGCCCTACTGAACTTGAAACCTTGTGCATGCATAGCATATGCTCTACCACTGAGTTACTGCCCTTCCTTGGGAAACCTATACATACGATCTTCAGCTTCTCACAACAGGAGAAAGGCAGAGGAGAAGCAAAACCAAGTTTTGTCACAGCTACAGAAAGCCTTTGTAAGGCTGTTGTCACGATGAATTACTCCTCGAGAACACTAGAGGGCGCACTAGATCTCTGCCAAAGCTCATCACATGAAGGTTCCAGCAGGTGAGCGGAATTTTCCACGGCAGCAAGTTATTATTAAGAACATAAGAACCACCCGCTGGATCAGCCCAGCATCTAGTTCTCACCAGATGCCTGTGGGGAAACCAGAGACCAGAGCAGGAGCCACAAGAGCACGCTGCCCTCCTGCGATTTCCTGGGGGAGCGGGTTCCATAGTGTGCTGCGTGATTATTGTTTTAAAAGCGACACAGCAAACACAATGGGAAGATACTGCTGACAGCATTCCACCCTCCCAGTCCTCTGTGTGCCCTTTCCTAAGAGAGAAGGGCGCTTGGGTCTGGCAGAGCTGTGTGCTTGCCAGGAACAGGCAAACATCCAGAGCAGCTCTGAGGCCTCCAAAACAAACACAAGGGAGAGCAGGTTCAGCCAAGGACTTACCGTTTTCCACCACTGCTCCCTTTCCCTTCTTGTCTGGCTCGGTGGCACGGGCCTTCGGGGCCTGACAAAGCAACAAGGAAGAGTTTAACTGGACCTGGCCTTGAGGGCCTCTGTGGTGAAGTGGAGCCAAGGTTTTAAAGGCAGCCCCGCACACGGAAATCTAGCAGGCAAAGCTCTTCCTGGTGCAGAGACAAGCCATGGAAGAAGCTTTACCTGCTAGATTTCCGTGTGCGGGGCTGCCTTTAAAACTTGGCAGTGAAAGAAAGAGTGAAAGAAAGAGTGAAATGGCAATGAAAGAAAGAGTGGGGAATTAAAGACGAGGAGGTCAATGTTTTCCTAAAAAGAACTTTGCCCTAGAATCCCTATGTCAAGTGACAATTCTTTGCTCTCCCCAGCTTACTGCATACAATGGAAATCACAAGTTTGCAACGCTGCCTTATTCCCAGATTCAGAGACACACAGGCCAAAATAAATGGGAAGAATCCATAAAGCATGCTTTTAAAGACTGAGGTGGGATGGGATGGATGTTTCACTGGCCCCTCAGACACCGTGTCCTGAGCACGGGTGCCACTACCTACACACCCCGAGGTAGCGGAGGTTTCAAAGAAAGGCTCACACATCCCCACCATTAATGGCTTGTGCCCGTATTAGACAAGGATGGAGAGAACCTGTGGGCCTTCCAGATGTTGCTGAGCTCCAGCTCCCATCAGCCTCAGGCAGCATGGCCAAGAGTCAGGGATGATGGGAGTTGTAGTCAGCATCTGGGAGGGCTGTGGGGTTGGGGGTTTTAGATCCTCTGCACTCTATTGCACACCTGGAGTGGAAGCCACTAACACACTCCAAGAAGGAAGGAAGGAAGGAAGGAAGGAAGGAAGGAAGGAAGGAAGGAAGATAAACACTTACCTTTGATTTCTTTTCCAGATCAGCTTCTGTCTTTGGGCCCAACAAGTGGAGCACCTGCAGGAGAGGAAAAGCACAGAAGGAAGGAATTGATTAGTTGCCTTGGGTTTGACCCGCCCCTCTTAAGTTCCTTCTCTCTACCTCCCCTCCCCAGGGCAAAACTCTTCTTATGTCAGAGATGGGGAACCAGATACTGCTGGCCTCCAGCCCCCACCAGCCCCACTCAGCCTGGCCAATGGAGTTCAGCGACAGCTGCCCCAACACTGCCTTACAAAAAACACACCAGGCCAAAGCAAGAAAGCAAAACCCACTGATCCGGCGTAAATGTCAGCATGCCTCTGCAGGAGCACAAAATTTAATCTGATGCTACAGCCTCCTTTCCCGATTTGAGCCCACACAGGAGGATACAGTTGTGGTTCCACTGTGAATGCAGTGTTTCTACTGTGTAAGGAAGTATGCGGTAGAAAAAACAGCATCCTGAGAATGCCAGGATTTTTATTTTTTGTTTTAAGTTTCCAGTTACAAAAATAGACCTGAAGGGATGTGGGTGATGCTGATGAAGATCTCAGAAACCCAAGGCAGTTGTCTTAGCACAGTGATGGCCAAACTTGGCCCTCCAGCTGTTTGGGGACTACATTTCCCATCATCCCTGACCAGTGGTCCTGGTAGCTAGGGATGATGGGAGTTGTAGTCCCAAAACAGCTGGAGGGCCAAGTTTGGCCATCACTGTAGACTTAGCAGGAGTCCCAGTGTGCAAAGCGCAGACCTTTTAGCACCCAAAAATCTGAGAAACGGATATGCAAAACAGGGGCATGCAAATGTAGTTACATAATATATACAGGTCACAGGGCAGCACTGCAGGAGAAATTTGCAGCGCCGAGTCTTGGTTATGGAACCTATTTTTTGTTTAAAATACGTTTTTAACCCTACCCTTCTTCCAGGGAGCTTACTGGTGCAAAAGGCTCTCTCCACACCTCATATTACCTGCACAACCATCCTGCGATGTAGGTTAGGATAAAAGAGATCAACTGGCCCATTGGGCTTCACAGCCGACGGGGAATTTGAACCTAGGTCTCCCGAGGGCTGACCCTGGTTCTTTAAGGGGGAGGACCTGCTGATTCTGTTGCAACGACCCAGCCAATCCCCACCTGCCTTCTCCAAAATCCCTTGTCCAGATCTGCAGGCCCCCCTGACTCACCTGAAGGTCCACCTCGTTCTTAATGATTTTCCCATCAGCCCACTTCAACTTGCTCCGCGCCTCCCCTGCAAAAGAGAAAGGAAATCAGAGCAGTCGTTGGCAATCCGCTGAACAGGACTCTGAAGCACAAGTCCAGGGCCCAATGGAGACACACACACCCCTCAGGCCCTGCTTAAAGGCTCCCCAGAGATGTCTGGCTGGCCATTGTGAGAGGAGGACGCTGGAATGATGCCCTAATCTGGCAAGGATCTTCTTAGGGCTTCTGGATAACAGCAGCTGGGAAACACTGGTGGAAGATGGCTGCTGCCCTCATGCATTGCTTGTGGGTTTCCAAGAGACATCTAGCTGGCCACTGCAGGACCAGGATGCCCAAATAGAGGGGCCTTTGGTCTGGCCCAGCAGGGCTCTTCGTACCTTAGGAACACAGGAAGCTGCCTTAATCGGACCATTGGTCCATCTTGCACAGCGCTGTCCAGACCAGGGTTTCCCAAACGGGGGTCTCCCGACTACAGTTCCCATCATCCCTGACCACTGGTCCTGCTAGCTAGGGATGATGGGAGTTGTAGTCCCAAACAGCTGGAGACCCCAGTTTGGTCTGGACTGATTGGCAGCAGCTCTCCAGGATTTCAAAGCAGGGAAGCATCCTCAGCCCTACCTGGGGCGGATTTAACCAGAGACCTTCTGCGTGCAAGGGCGATTTTCTACTACTGAGCTACGGCCCCTTCCGATATATTACTGTGTTCACTGTTAGTCCTATGGCAGAGTGCGCTGGCTGAGTTTGCAAGGGAGTGGGCAGGTTTAAGAAGAAACGAGCAGAGTCTGGAAAAGCGCACAAGGCCAGGTTGCGGAATGAGCACAGTGATGCGCCAGCAGTAAGCACGTGTCTCACAATGGGAACGTACTTCCAGACTCCCCTGCCCGGCCTGTCACTCACCCATCAAAAGCCCCATGTTAAAGCGATAACGCTCCGAAAGGAGCTGGGCTCTGTGTTTGCTGATGGAAGCTTCCACCTAGGAAGGAAAAGAGAAAATCTGATTATAAAATGAGAGAGAGTGTGTGAAACTAGAGCCAGTTCAAGTGGCTTCCAGACGAGGCTAAATACAAGGCAATAAGATGAGGTGGGGAAGGTCTAAGTGTTGGTGCTGACCTTTAAAGCCCTAAACGGCCTCGGTCCAGTATATCTGAAGGAGCGTCTCCACCCCCATCGTTCTACCCGGACACTGAGGTCCAGCGCCTAGGGCCTTCTGGAGGTTCCCTCACTGCGAGAAGTCAAGTTACAGGGAACCAGGCAGAGGGCTTTTTCGGTAGTGGCACCCGCCCTATGGAACACCCTCCCACCAGATGTCAAAGAGAACAACAACTACCAGACTTTTAGAAGACATCTGAAGGCAGCCCTGTTTAGGGAAGCTTTTAATGTTTGATGCATTACGGTATTTTAATATTTTGTTGGAAGCCACCCAGAGTGGCTGGGGGCTGGGGACGCCAAGCCAGATGGGCGGGGTATGTATAAATAAATAAATAAATAAATAAATAAATAAATAAATAAATATCATCATCATCACACTTTTCTTCCTTTTTTGCCGAACAACAGAGCCTCTTCCCTGCCAGACAGAGCTCCCCAAACCCTCCCCGACACTGGAGGGAAGTTACTGAGCCATTAGGACAACTTCCCACCTTTGGGCAAAGGTGCTCCATGGATATCTGAGTCTTCCTAAAAGCCCTGATCCTCTTTTGGCCAGGCAGCTACCCAAGTGGATGTGGTTGGCAGGTTTCTCTGTGATTCAGGCTTAAGCAACAACAGAGACCTTGCCTTGCACACGTCTCTCTTGACAAAAAAACAAAGACACACAGAGGCCTGGGTAGACACCCTTTGCCCAGCTCCAAGCGTGGAAGCCGGGCCCACATTGGAGCATGGCGCCACTTGCTGCTCCTACCAAGGGCTGACACTCACCGCCTCTTCAATCTGCTCTGGCGTCACGATCACACCAACGCCACATTCCCTAGCAAAGTCTGCTGCGTCAATGGGCTCCACAGGGTGGCTTTTGACGTACTCCAGAGCCGCTGTAGGCACAAAGAACGCAGGTGTATTATGAGAAGGAACGTCTGTGTGTTAAGATTGGAGAAAGTGGACTGCAGAGAGACCTGGGTTCAAATCCCCACTTAGCTATAAAGTGCTGGGATGCTACCGGGGCATTTGGCAAGCCCCCAGCTGGCTCTAGCCACCGGTCGGCAGCCGGGCGACACTCCGGTTCCCGGTACAGCATCAATCAGCGACATGAGGCTCAGATACGTTCTGAAGCTGTGCACGCTCTTATCAGCAGAGTGAATAAATCCTCACAACAGAAGTGGCGGACAGAGACATGCGTAAGCATTATTCACAGCATTTAATCAGCATAGTTCAGGAACAAAGGAAAAAACATGTCTGCTTCCCTTCGTCTCCAGCAAAACAGCAAGATAGCAAAAGCAGCATACAAACGGAAGTTCCCAGCAGACTGTGCTGAAAGTAAAGAGGCATGTGACATAAAGCCCATCTGGTGTTCCTCTGCCAGTTAAGTGTCTCTCAGCCTAACCAACCTCACAAGGTTGTTATGATGGTAACATCAGGGTGGGAAGAGAGGAATCGCCAATCTTCATCACCCCCGACTCCTTGGAGGGTGAGACTACAATTAAACCATAGGATTGTAGAAGAGTTGGAAGGGACCATGAGGGTCAGCTGGAAACAGGGATATTTTGCCCAATGTGGGGCTCGTACCAATGTCCCTATGATTAAGAGTCTCATACTCTACCGACTGAGCTAACCCCAATAAATCAACACATTAACAAATCAAAGGAAAGAAAAGTCATTGGGAGAAACAAGCAGCAGCCCTGGCCCTGCAAGAGAAGCCTTCTCAAGGCAAGGCTGGCGGCGGCATTTCGCATTATGCTCAGGATTCAGTTCCTTGTTAAAAAGTTTTTTATTTATACTTTTCAAATGTATTCATTTCATTAGTTTTAAGATCAATTTAACATTTCAAAATTTGACTTCCTCCCCCCTTTTTCTGTGGCTGCATAAATTTATTTTTTAATATCTTCTGCATATCCAAATGCATTTAACTTGCTCATTTAATTATCTACTGTAAATATATGCTCTTATAAAACTGCAGGTTATTACAATAATCCTGCTAACGTTTTCATCTGTTTACAATTTATCTGCAAATATTCAACAAACCATTTCCATTATTTTTTTAAAAGTTGGTTATCTTGATTTCTTATTCTGCTGGTAAGTTTCGCAGCTTGGGCTCAAGGAAGGATTTGTCCACAGGCAAGACTAGCCAGCAGCCTTGGCAGGTTCTTGTGCCAGGTTTCCCTGTGACAGTCTATGTGAGCCACCTGGACTGTTTTACTAAGCCACTTTCAGAAGCCTCCAGCATGGGAGAACCAGGCCAAACACTGCCTTCTGCATGGAACCCCCTAGGTTCAGGAGGCTGCTAGGATAGCCAATGCGCTGGCCTCCAGATATTTGGGTGACCACTCCCACCATCCCTGACAATTGGCCCCATTGAGTGGGGCTGATAAGAACTGTAGTTTGAAGTATCCAGAGGGCACCATTTTGACTACACTGGGATTAAGCTGCAGGAGAAGAAAATTACTGATGGACTGTGAATTACATTGCCGGAGAACTTTGTTGTTCCAGAAACTCAAGAGAGACACAACCCTAATATACGGACAGCCAACAAGCTGCCTTCCCAATGTTTTGGACTACAACTCCCATTCAGCATTGCCAATGATCAGGAATGATGGGAGTTGTAGTCCACAACACATGGAAGGCACCACATCGGCGACCTTTGCCCTAACGCCTGGTTGTGCATTAAGCACAAGGCTTGGTGACTTAAGACAATCTTTGCCGCAGCCAGCATAAACTCTAAATGTGTACCATTGAGCTGCAGGTCTGTAACTATCTTCTTGGTCGCGATATACTCCACAAGGAAGCCAAGGTGCTTTGGGTCCTTAAGCCTGGAGGCCACATTGTATAACAGGGTGCCAACTGTCTTATCAGCAGCTGAGCCAAGGATTTCTTGAGCCTAAAAGGGAGAGAGGGGTCAACAGGAGAGTTAAAAGCTGGTTTGGTGTACAGTCATACCTCAGGTTGAATGTGCTTCGGGATGAGCGCGTTTGAGTTGCGCTCCGCAGCAACCCGGAAGTAATGGAGCATGTTACTTCCAGGTTTCACCGCTTGCATGCGCAGGCATGGCATCATTTGTTACGTTTGCTTCTAGATGCGAATGAGGCTTCGGAATGGATCCCGTTCGCATCTAGAGGTACCAATGTAATGGCTGATGTCAGTCTAAAGATGTTAAGGAGAGGTGACAGGAGAGGTTTCTGCAGAATGAGACAGAGGAGCTCATAGGAAGCTGCCATATACTGAGTCAGACCACTGAGGTCTACCTAGCTCAGTATTGTCTACACTGACTGGCAGCAGCTCTCCATGGTTTCAGGCAGAAAACGTTCCCCATCCTACATTCAAGGGATTGAATTTGGGTAGATGCTCTACCACTAAGCTATGACCTGTCTCTTCCCAGTTAACTTCTTGTGCATCAGCAGGACACCATCTCCACCCTGCCCCTTCCCAACTTAAGAGCCAGCATTACAGAACTGCCCTGGTTGCAGAGGGGAAAGTCCCAGCAACCAGCAGAGGGATAATTATGTAACACCCATGTCGTTTTGTTGGGTTGCTGCACCGTTGTGTTTGGGTGCCTGTGCACAAAGATAACTATGCAACAAGCAATTCCCAGCATGCTGTTGCATTACGACAGCCCCAAACGGATACGGCTGTGGTTCTTTAAACCCTGTGAAGAAACTCTTGCATCTCTCTGCAGCAATGTAGATTAACCGTGTGCATTTTGGGAACTATAATTCAAACAGCCTACTCTCCAATGACAGAATGAATGGGTACACCCTGCTTTGTAAGTAGACACTGGCCAATCCCACCCCACCCCAATGATTTCATCCTGATCAAGAGAAACAGGAAACAAGCGCAAAAATCAGCTGACTTCTTGCTCTCTTGGTTATTCTCAAGGAGCTCCTCTCAGCACCAGCAGAACTTTCACTTTCAGATTCTTGGAAACATTTCCAGAAGGAAATTCCGCTGCAGAACAAGGCTGATGTTGTCTGAAAAGTCACTGCTTGCAACGTGGTAAGCTAGAATATGTCGGAAACGTTTCCACCGACCTTACTTTTATCACATAAACACGGAAGCATATGCTGACCTTAACAGTAAATCTAAATGCACACCTGCTTTTTAGTTCTCATCCTGAAACTGAATTAAGCCCAAGTACACATAGCTCCCTTTCTCTCTCCTTCCTATGTCACCACAAATTGCAAGCCATGCTACAAGCAAATGAAATGTATCCTTCATGTAGGTAAAGGAAAAGGGACCCCTGACCATTAGGTCCAGTCGTGGCCGACTCTGGGGTTGCGGCACTCATCTCGCTTTATTGGCTGAGGAAGCTGGTGTACAGCTTCCAGGTCATGTGGCCAGCATGACTGAGCCGCTTCTGGAGAACCAGAGCAGCGCACGGAAACGCCGTTTACCTTCCCGCCAGAGCAGTACCTATTTATCTACTTGCACTTTGATGTGCTTTCGAACTGCTAGGTTAGCAGGAGCAGGGACCGAGCAACTGGAGCTCATCCCGTCGCAGGGATTTGAACCGCCGACCTTCTGATCGGCAAGCCCTAGGCCCTGTGGTTTAACCCACAGCGCCACCCTATCCTTCATGTAGCAGCAGGAAAAAACTCATAGTAACTTGATAAACTGAAACAACAACTGAAATTTGTTTAGTTGAAACATTTCTACCTCTTTCCTCATCCAAAAAAATTCCCAAAGTGGGTTATGTAAGGCCAATAAAAACAAGACAGTTCATGAAATGGGACAGAACCACAGCTAGAACTTGAGTCCAGCCTACAACAGTAACCAAGTCAGAGGACTTATAAGAGGCTCCTGAGAAGTTATCTGTGCTATGAATCACTCCCACTGGGGACTCACAGGAGGCCCTAATAAGTTCAGTTCCAAAACTCAGTTCCTAACCCAACAGATAATACTTATTAAACATTTGATATTATTATTCTGTTTTTCCTTTTCATTCTTGGGAGTTTGAAATTGCAGAGGTATAGTTGACCACCAATTTTCAAACTGAGGATCAATCTGAGTCTCAGATGAAAACAGGAAGTTAAAACATATACTAACAAGTGGCAGGGAACAGATTCCAGAGTGACCCCATACAGAATCCACTGGGACAGAATCCAGTCTTGCAGCATAATCCTAAGCATGCTTACCATATTCTTCGCCCTATAGGACGCACTTTTTCCCCTCCAAAAAGGGGAAATGTGTGTGCGTCCTATGGGGCGAATGCAGGCTTTCGACCCCTCTCGCTCTCCAGGCTTCAGGGAAGCTCTCCGCAAGCCTTGGGAGCCCACGGGAGTTCCCGCCAGGCTCCCACGGCTTGCAGAGAGCTTCCTCTATCCCGAAGCCTGGGTGCGCTGAGTAGTCGCACCCGGGCTTCGGGTAGCTCTGCGCAAGCCGTGGGAGGGCTCCCACGGCTTGCGGAGAGCAGCCTGTTCTGGGGGCTGGGGTCGGGGGAAGCCGGGGGGGGGGGGGAATCATTTTTTTTTCTTTATTTCCCCCCAGAAAAACTAGGTGCACCCTATGGGCCGGTGCGCCCTATGGGGCGAAAAATACGGTATTTAGAAATAGGTCTTACTGTATTCAGCTGGCCTCACTCACAGATAGGTCTCCCCAAACCACAGCCTAACCCCACTGACCTGGAAGCCCCACTGAATTCAACAGTAGTCACATCTTGAGTAGGACAGGACTACATGCAAGCTTATTCAGAAGTGAGTGCCATTCAGCTCAAGAGGTCCAACTGCCCAGGAAGTGTGTTTAAGTTTGCATTGCTAAAATAGCTAGGGACAGCTCCTGAGGCATGATGGTGCAGCAAGTTCAAATTTAAATAAACCTTTAAAATAAAAAATATCTTCTCGCCCTTTGCAGGAGATCACAGGACAGAACACTGAACTCGGAAACCATCCTTTCTTACAGTCACACCCAGTCTATCTATCTTCTGCCCTCTCTTTGACGAAGACTTGCAGATCTCCTAATTTTAGAGGGTTTGCCAAACTGTGTTATCTCTGTGAAGACTCACTGAAGCATGATAAAAATGAGAGATCATTCAGAACTGTGCCATATACAGTCATACCTCGGGTTGAAGTAGCTTCAAGTTAAGTAATTTCGGGTTGCGCTCTGCGGCAACACGGAAGTAACAGAGCGTGTTGCTTCCGGGTTTTGCCGTTCACACATGCGCAGATGCTCCAAATGACATCGTGCGCATGCGCAGAAGCGGCGAAACGCAACCTGCGCAGTTGCGTCTTACGTTTACTTCAGGATGCGAACGGGGCTCCAGAACAGATCCCGTTTGTATCCAGAGGTACCACTTGTATACAGTGGTACCTTGGGTTAAGTTGTTAATTTGTTCCAGAGGTCTGTTCTTAACCTGAAATTGTTCTTAACCTGAAGCACCACTTTAGCTAATGGGGCCTCCCGCTGCCCGATTTCTGTTCTCATCCTGAAGCAAAGTTCTTAACCTGAAGCACTATTTCTGGATTAGCGGAGTCTGTAACCTGAAGCGCCTGTAACCTGAAGCGTATGTAACCCGAGGTACCACTGCAGAGGAATGGAGGAGAGTGAAGGGTTTTTTGGTTTTGGTTTTTTTGAGGGGGTAGTGGGGGTGAGCTCCACCTGTTGGATTTCAGCCTGTCAGGTTGCTCTCAAGAGAGCACTACCGGTGTGCGGAGAGAGACTAGAGTTGGCAGCCTGGGAACTGAAACCAACGGAGTCCCTTAGGGGCAAAGCGATGATACCTGCACGATGGCCTCGCGGAGCAGCGCGCTCAGCGCCTGGTTCCGAAGGGTCTCGCGAGCCTTGCTTTCGCTCAGACCGATGCTAACGAAAAGCTCCAGCGCGCCCGGCTCGTCGGCCGCCATGCTGCTCCTCGCAGCCGCCTCTACTTCCGCCCGACGTAGGGCGCGCCGGCATCCCAGCCCAACCAACCATGCGCAGAGTGGGTAGGGGGCGGGGCAAGGAGCCGGGGGAAAGCCAACCCGAGGCTGCCGTCGGTCTTTGCGACCAATAGGAAGCGCCGCCGGAACGCCCGCCTCCCCATGGCCCCGCGACAAATCCGAGAGAGGCGAATGTGGCGCTGGGCGGGGCAGCGGGTTGCTTCTCTTTGCATCATCACTCGAAGGTGACGTTTTTTTGAAGAGCGAAGGATCAGGTGGCCATAGAGATAGAAAGAGGGTGGAGAGAGCTTTGTGCACAGATTTTTACATTAAAAGTCACTTGTAATAAGTTGAAGGTGGTTTTAAAATTGGATTGTTTATAAGGTTTTATGGACGTGCATAAACAAGTATATTATAATAGAACCAAGACGGAGAGTGGAGGGAAGTCGACCAAAATTTATGGTTTAATTTGGTTATGATTTTTTTCCTGGTTGGTTTTTTTTGTATTGTTATTTCTGGAAAATTAATAAATTGTTATCAAAAAAGAAAGAGAGTAGAGAGAAAGGCAGCAGAAGGTCCCGAGTTCAATCCCTGACCTCTCCAGGTTGTTGTTGTTTAGTCGTTCAGTCGTGTCCGCCTCTTCGTGACCCCATGGACCAGAGCACGACAGGCACTCCTGTCTTCCACTGCCTCCCGCAGTTTGGTCAATCTCATGCTGGTAGCTTCGAGAGAACACTATCCAACCATCTTGTCCTCTGTCGCCCCCTTCTCCTTGTGCCCTCCATCTTTCCCAACATCAGGGTCTTTTCCAGGGAGTCTTCTCTTCTCATGAGGTGGCCAAAGTATTGGAGCCTCAGCTTCACGATCTGTCCTTCCAGTGAGATCTCAGGGCTGATTTCCTTAAGAATGGATAGGTTTGATGATCTTGCAGTCCATGGGACTCTCAAGAGTCTCCTCCAGCACCATAATTCAAAAGCATCAATTCTTCGGCGACCAGCCTTCTTTATGGTCCAGCTTTCACTTTCATACATCACTACTGGGAAAACCATAGCTTTAACTATACAGACCTTTGTTGGCAAGGTGATGTCTCTGCTTTTTAAGATGCTGTCTAGGTTTGTCATTGCTTTTCTCCCAAGAAGCAGGCGTCTTTTAATTTTGTGACTGCTGTCACCATCTGCAGTGATCATGGAGCCCAAGAAAGTAAAATCTCTCACTGCCTCCATTTCTTCCCCTCCTCTCCAGGTAGGTTTGTCCAAAATCCTGAGGGACTGCTGCCGGTCAGTGTAGGCAATACTGAGCTAGATGGGCCAATGTTCTGACTCGTGCAATTGAAGGATTGTAGAGTTGGAAGGGACCCTGAGGACTATGGAACTGTCCTGTGCAGGGGATCGAACCTGCAACCTTGGCGTTGCATTACATGGTCACTTTAAAACCTTTTATGATAAAGATGTTTATTATGGGAAGTCTTGAGTGTTGTGCAAGTAAATGGGGCATGGGCTTTTTGAGAGCTGGCATTGGATTTTAGCAGCAACCGGAGGAATCCTTTGCAGCAGTGTTTTCAGACATTAGTGAAGGCAGCAGTTTAAACTCTGATAACATCCCTAATTTTCTGTCTCAGTAAGGATGTTCTTTGTAGTATTACAGTAGGGAATAATAATTCTGGACTACATAGCATCATCTCTTATCACAAATCCCCTCTCCATGTCTGGAAATACAGATACAGTAATTTTGAACTACCCACAATACAAATAACTCTGCACTACCCACAATATAGAGATAATACTGTTGAACGTTTCCCACCCTATATTCAATAAGAATGATTTTAATTGACCACTCAGTCAGGAAGCTTTTGCAGGGCTTAAAAAAATATTTATTCATTTATAGCGTTTTTATCCTGCTCTTCAGTCAGAAAAGGCTTCCAGGACAGCTTACAAATATCAGTGATAAAACAGCCCCTACCCTGAGGTTTAGAATCTAAAAGACATGACACAAAAGGAAAAGTGATTGAGAGGACAGAGGGGGGAAAGGAAGCTTGGCAACTCGTTCTTGTAATGACCAGTTGGAATAGAACCATTTGGAGAAAAGGAGCCAAAAGTTGTTGATCTCATCAGAGCTGACGGAGATGCCCTGCTGTCTCATCTCTCCCTTTGCTAGAGGCTGATGGAAGACTGTGGAAATGTTTTACAAACCAACAGAAATGGCTTTCTCACAACACAATAAGACCATGTGCTGTTGCAAAATCATAGCTATCATAGAGCCCTGGGAGCAAGCTGTCAGTTGCAGCCTTCAAAGGAGAAGAGAAATGGTGTCAAAAGTCATCAGGAAGTCCCATCTCCAGACAGAAGGATTGTCAGTCTAGAACTTGTTTATGTCTGGGAGAGAGGGAGAGGGAGAGGGAGAGAGTGCCTGTGTTAAGATGTGAAGCAACTTTTGCCTACTAGGAGAGTAACACACAGTAACAGGCTAGACTAAGCACCTTCACTCCTTGTTTGATGAAAGATCTGACCCTGATTGCTGCTCACCAGAAAAATTCCAATGCTAAACTCACTATTTGACTTTGGGGCAAGCAGCTCTGGAGGGGGAAACAAAAAATGGAAGCAAATTTAATTTATAGTCCATTTTAACAGTATAACATTTCTGTATCTCACAACAGAATAGCAAGCCTAAAGCAGACTACTGCTACAGAAATGCAGGGTCTATTTGATTTAGGACTGAACTTATTTATTTACTCTGATTCCTTGCCCTCCCTTCACCACAAGGTCCCAGGGCAGGTTAGAAGATAAAGATCAACACCACGTGAAAGAAAATAAGGCATCTGGTGAAACCACTTTTGATGTTGTCTGGTTAGGACAGATTCCTTTTAAAAGCACCGAGGCTTCTGTTTTCTTCCAGTTCTGTTGCCCTGGTTTAGTTATTGTCCTTGCTGTGTCATACATACACTTAAGGGGGAATGCGGGTGGCGCTGTGGTCTAAACCACTGAACCTCTTGAGATTGCCGATCACAAGGTTGGCGGTTTGAATCCAGCGATGGGGTGAGCTCCCATTGCTCTGTCCCAGCTCCTGCCAACCTAGCGGTTCGAAAGCAGGCCAGTGCAAGTAGATAAATAGGTACTGCGGTGGGAAGGTAAACAGTGTTTCTGTGCACTCTGGTTTCCGTTACGGAGTTCCATTGCACCAGAAGCAGTTTAGTCCTGCTGGCCAGATGACCCAGAAAGCTGACTGTCGACAAACGCCAGCTCCCTGAAAGCGAAATGAGCGACACAACCCCATAGTCGCCTTTGACTGGACTTAACCGTCCAGGGGTCCTTTACCTTTACCTTTAAAAGGTAAAGGGGCCCCTGACCATTAGGTCCAGTCGTGACCGACTCTGGGGTTGCGGCGCTCATCTCGCTTTATTGGCCGAGGGAGCCGGTGTACAGCTTCTGGGTCATGTGGCCAGCATGACTAAGCCGCTTCTGATGAACCAGAGCAGCGCATGGAAACGCCGTTTAACTTCCTGCCGGAGTGGTACCTATTTATCTACTTGCACTTTGACGTGCTTTCGAACTGCTAGGTTGGCAGGAGCTGGGACCGAGCAACGGGAGCTCACCCCGCCGCGGGGATTCGAACCACCGACCTTCTGATCGACAAGTCCTAGGCTCTGTGGTTTAACCCACAGCGCCACCCACGTCCCCACCTCTACCTTTACATACACTTAAATTTTTGTTGATCATAAACCACTTTGAAATAACTTTTAACTGACGGGAAGGGTTTTGAAATAACAGCACCAGCCTGTTTTAATAATCACACAAAATATTATGCTTGAAATAGTTTGTTGAGGCCCCATGCAGATCATAGGATAAGTCAGGCTCAGCCCCAAAAGTACAAAATGGCTGAAAAATAGAAATGGAGAAGTTGCCATGAGCCCTCTGTTCCATCAGGATCTGGCATGGTTTGATGGCTGCGGATGGAAGAGGAGGAAGAGGAGGAAGGAGAAGAAGCAGGGCAGGGCAGCTTGAAGGTCCTTCTCCAGGAATAGAGGTCCTCCCCTTGTGAGTCCAAATGTTGGAAAAAGAGGAGCAGATCCACCAGCACTCTCCATTGCCCTTCCTGAGAGCACAGAGCCTCCTTTGGGTTGGGAGAGAACTTAGACCAGTCAATGGGAGGGGGCCAAGTAGGAGGCAGGTGCGGAGCTGGAGACAAGAGGGGCAGAGGCACAGTCTTGTCACACAGAACCATGCACCTCCTCCATAGGTGCAATCAGAGCATAAGAAGAGCCCTGCCAGATCAGGCCCATCTAGTCCAGCATCCTATTCTCACAGCGGCTTGCCAGGTGCCTCTAGGAAGCCCACAAGAAGAGCTTGGATTTGATATCTCGCTTTATCACTACCTGAAGGAGTCTCAAAGCGGCTAACATTCTCCTTTCCCTTCCTCCCCCACAACAAACACCCTGTGAGGTGAGTGGGGCTGAGAGACTTCAGAGAAGTGTGACTGGCCCAAGGTCACCCAGCAGCTGCAGGTGGAGGAGCAGGGAAGCGAACCCGATTCACCAGATTACGAGTCCACCTCTCTTAACCACTACACCACACTGGCTCCAAATGTTGGCTACCCCCAACTGTGATATCCGGCAGCTGGCAGCCCTGTGTCGGGAAGTTTTTAATGTTTGACTTTTGCTATGTTTTCATATATGCTGTAAACCACACAGGGTGGCTGGGAAAACGCAGCCAGATGGACTGGGTATAAATAATAAAATTATTATTAGGATTATTATTATTACTATAGAGCAGTGCTTTTTTCTGGGGGGGATGCAGGGGTACGCATACCCCTAAACATTTTGTGAATCTTTGTACTTTTGTCCCTTTACTGTATTTATTTTTCCCGAATTGAACTATAAAAATGGTGATTTTCTTGAGTCAAAATGAGAGTACCCCTAAACATTTTTTAAGGGGAAAAAAGCACTGCCATAGAGGCATACTGCTACCAACATTAAAAGTATGTAGATCATAGCCATCGTGGCTAGAAGCCTTATACTCCACAAATGGGTC